CAATAAAAGATATAAATATACTTAAAGACAGAATAAGTAGAAAATACAAAAGCAATAAAACAAATATCCTGTCTTTTTTGTCCGTGGCAGATGTGAAAGCAAATGTAACGTATTTATCCTGGAAGTCGTAAAGACTCCATCAAGATTCAGAACATTAAAAAAAGCAACACACAGATGTGGGCAAACTGAGACAACATGGGAGGGAGAGGTTGAATTCTACTTCTCCATAAAGAAAGCTTTTATAAACAGTAAATTAAAAATTTAAAAAATTTAAAAAATAAAATGCAAGGTGTCTGCAGTAATTAGCTACATCTGAAAATACCTGTAATTTTACAACGTTTGAACATACAACTATAAGAATATATCAAATGAACCGTCACCACGGCAGACAGATGCAGGCCTCACTATTTTTCATTCACAAGTAAACACGTTGCAGCTGGCCATTATCAGATGACCGCTCTATCTGAAACTGCATGCTTTGGCACAGGCTGCAGCGAGAGCGTTGGAGCATGTGAGCTGAAGTGTGTGAACACTCTATACCAACATGATGTGAGGAACGTCAGCACAAACATGACTGTGAATTAATGTAATGTTTGATTAGGCAGTGATCAGAGATGAGCGTTCATTATTGTAGAGCTGCTTAAAGACATAACACAAACAAATAAGGAGAGCCGTAAGCAGAATGACATCTCTCATGAACTAACACCAGCTTCCAGTACGTTTCATGATTCTGGTTTTGAGACTTGGTCCATTCCTGCTGATAGTTTGAATATGCCTGACACACAGATCAGTTCCTGTCTTCCTGTTGAGGCTCCAACTTCTGAGAAGACCTGTGTGTGAAAGGTGATTATATTCTGGCTGCTGTTTATCTGTTGACGTGGGTACGAGGCAGGCTGCTGTCTTCTCACAGATAATAGACCTCTGACTGCTGCTCATCCCCGATGACTAACCCACTGCTGATAAACACGCTCTGTCACTGAGAGTGGCTTCTCTGAGCTGCTGGTGGTGGAAACCTTCACGTTAGAGCTTCTGTATGCTCCGAAACACAAACTCATCCAATGTCTGTTCTTTCTTTTGCCAGATGAGAACTTCAGTGTGTGAACGGGATTTTTTTTTAAAAAGTAAATAAACAAACTCATACATTTTAATAAACTGCGTTGTATGCAGTCTTATGCAATCTATTATGAATTATGAGTGGTCAAATAAATACCTCAAAAATATTTATGATCTGATAATGCTAAACTATTTTATTATTAGATGTATGATGTAATATCTAAGGCATACAATTAACAAGTAATACATAATGAATAAATCAACACAAAAACAATTGCGGATACTTTTACAGTTCAGCACCACTCCCAGTTTAATGTGAGCAGCTTCTCAGTATATTGAATGACCACTTACAGCTCTGCATAATTTAATGTGATCACCTCATTTCCATACAATTTTATACTAACAAAAAATGATTCATTTCTCTAACGTTTTTTTTTGGCTTAGTGATATGATGTGGATTTTTTAAATGACCCCTGTAGTGGAATTAGACCTTTGACACAGCGAAGTAAACAGAAACATGACAGTTTAGATTATCATCTGATATCATTAGACTTATACACTTCGTTGACGAGAGTCTATTTTAGTCTACTTTTATGGTATATGTGACTTTTTCATGATCAGTAGTAAGAATCAATCATCTATCAAATTTTGAACCATTGCATATGACACATATTTTTTTATAGGAAATACTTTTATTACCTGGTTTCAACTGTTTTCATATATTATTTCTTAATTTTATTTGGTCTGGTTTTTATCTTTAGCCTTTTCTTTGAGCTTTTATGTCATTTTATTGTATTTTGTAACGCACCTTGAACCTTGTTAAGATAAGTGCTATAACGATAAAGTTGTATTATTAATCCCTCTTGGGCGTCATCTAGTGGTCACATGTTGTCACTGCGCCTCCATCTTTGCAAACAAGAGAATGTGAAAATAAAATAAAAAGACAGTAATTGATGAAGAACATACATTTGTAAAAGGAATCATCTAAAGGTCTTACTGTTGTTATTGTTATTATTATTATTATTATTATTATTATTATTATTGTATTGGCTGTATTGTTGGTTGTTGGTTGCCATAGTAACAGCACTCGGTTACACCACAGAGGTCGCTGGTGTTGGAGCTCCGGAGTTTGTCCTCAGATAACAACAAATAACACCACGTGTTTCAGTAAGTTCTTCCGTGTTGTGGCCACTTACATCTTATTTCATCAGGTTTATATTTATATTTATATTGTGCTGCGATTGATAGCCACATAGCTGTTGACCAGCTTCACTGTGAACGGCTGTGTGTGTGTGTGTGTGTCCCCTCAGGGATTGTGGGTAATGTATTTCTGTTGCAGATGGAGGCCTCCTCACACAGCAGAGGTGGGAGGGGCCTGTGGAAGAACCCCAGGGTCACCACGTACAGCCAGCAGACCCAGGACCTGCTGAGATGTGAGCTGATGATACACTTCATGTGCACTTTGAATGGGATGTACACAGATCCAGGAGCTGACTGTGTGTGTGTGTACTTGTGTACACTGAAGTGTACTACTCTACTGTGTTGTGTATTTCCCATCATGCTGTGCTCCCTCTCCTCAGTGATGATGCAGGAGTCCAAACTCACCAACCTCCAGAGGAAGCACATCAATGAAAGTCTGAGGAGTAAGTTTGGAGCTTTAAAGCTTTTCTTTATGCAAGTGTGATAATCAAGTGTAGATATTTCATATATTCTTAAATATTTTAAGGTGGTAAGTGCTCAACATACTCAATACTGTGTTTAATACTATATCTATATTACAACACTCAGCATATGAGATAATTAAAACAATATAATAATGTGTAGTTTAAAGGTATAACAATAATGATAATAATATTAATACTGATACTACTGCTACTATTACTACAACTACTACTAATAATAATAGGGACTCTCTGAAGAAAAAAACTAGAATGGTCAAGGTTTAACACAATAATTCAGTTTTCTAAATGTTTTGTGATTATTATTTTTTTTCATGTCCATTATCACAATCTTAAAGGCAGTTAAAATAATTTCCTGGATCCGCCCCCTGACCCAGATTTGCACGGTTACCTCTCTGACCCATACCACAGCATCCAGCGAGTTGTCCGATAATCTGTCCAGTAGTTGTGTGAAATCCACAGACAAACATAAAACCGACCTCCCAGAAAATGGAAAAGTGTGGACACATGACCACCTATGTAAAGGCAATGAAATCATTAAAATTGTAATTTTCTCAGTGGGCATTACATTTACTTTCCTGCTGCACTACTCCCTCAACACATTCAGCAAATCATTTGGCTTATTTACATTTCAATTACCACATTATAAACCTTTTTTATTTTTTTGAAAAACTTTCCCTCCACAGATGGAGCAGCTTTGCCACTGCCCCCTGACCCCAAATTGCTACCTTCTCCCCCTCAGCCCAAAACCAGTAAATCTGTCCACAGATGCCTGCCAGGCAGACCTCAGAGGCGCAGCGCAGAAGCTTGCTGTTCTGGGAACAGCTACACCAGAGAAAGGTTCCGTCCCGCCCCTACAAGTACGTTCTTGAAGCCAACACCTTACTGGTTCTGCACATTTGTGTTTTGACAGGCCCATATTGCACTTGCAAGAATTAAATTACATTTTTATTGCTGCATACTGAGAAACATTCTCTCTTCGTTTTTCGCTCTGATTCCAGGAGACTTGGAGAAAGAGAAGAGGAGGCTTCAGAATATAATGGCAACAGGAGAAGAAGAGCCCACATCTGCACCATCCCATTCAACATGTTGGAGCCCAGAAGTGATGGAGGAGAGAGACCAGTATCAGGAGGGTGAGAGTGACCACACAGAAACACCTCATGTAGCAGAGCTTCAGCTGATGTTACAGAGAGCGAGTGTTCCCATTACAACCTGAACACAAGCTGTGATAATGTGTGTGTCTGTGTGTCATCATGGCAAAACATTGTCCTTGAGACATCAACTTTATCTGAAACTACCAAAGAGGAAGTGGCTTTTGTAGTGCTTTGGCCTGTGTCTCTGTGTATGTTTCTGTTTGTCACCACAACAGCGTCACAACCATCTAAGTTCCTGTCATTAAACTCAACAGACGTGTAGTTGGCAAGAGGACTGTGGTCCCTCCCTTGAGTACTCATGTAAAAATGTAGTAAATTCTATTGAGTGCACATGGGATGGAGTGTCATGAAGCTGGTGGTGTGATCGTTACATTGTCTGTTTGTCCTGAATCAAATTCACTTTGACTAAATAAATCCACTGTCCCTTCCATCAGTCTAATACGAGCCTGTGTTTGTGTAGTTCTGGATGAGATAGAGGAAAGAAGACACTTCCTGGCAGACATGGCCTCTCTTGGTCAGGAGAAGCAGTACATCCATATCATCAACCATGAAATATCACAGGTAAATATGCATTTTTTGCACTTAAAATTATATTATATTATTATGTCATGCAGTGCTGTATTTTGAAAAGTTCTTGTGACTTCATATCTAGTCACAATCATATAAACAATACTAGAAAGCTCTGAGAAAATACATACAAGGCCCAACAGTCCTCTTAAAGTCAACTTTCATACACTCATAGATATCAGCTCTCTAAATGTGCCTGATTTTTTATATATAATCCATGAATTATTTCCTTATCCCCTTCCATGGTCAAAATGTTATAAAATCTGGCCATGTTAAAGAAAATTCTCCGCACGGGAATTTATTCCCTGACCCATACCACGTCCTTCCATGTTTCATAGAAATATGTCAAATGGTTTTTGCGTCATTCTGCGAACAAATAAATGCAGATGAAAACCTTCTCAGAAGAGATAGTAATCAGTTGCTGTAGGACAAATCAATAGGACTGCAGAAAATTCAGATTCTGTGAGTAGTGAAAATAGAATTCATTATCTCTGAAATACAATTGCATTGATTCCTGTCTCTGTGTCACAACTAATCCAGAAAATCAGAGAGCTGGAACTACTGGACAAGTCCCACCAAGACATCCATAAGGAAAGAGCAGACAAAGTGGACTCGAAGGAGGAGACAGCAGAGAGGGTTGACCTCTGACTCTCCATTCTTACTGTTAAAATTACTTTAAAATCAAATGCAAGCAATAAAACTGCAAAATCTGTCAACACAAACCCCTAAATCGAGTTGAATCAAGTGCTGAGTGATGTGCGATGAGAGGTTACAGCTGACACGCTGTACTGTGCTTCAGCTGAGGTGTGACAACAGAGGATGAACTTCACTTGAAACAAACATTAGATTAACTTATTTTATTTCTCTGCCTTCCAGTGTCAGTATTTAATATGATCCTGCTGCTGCTTGAGGACAAGGTATAGTGCTGCAGAAGGACTCTAGAGAACTGTAGAGGAAGACAGGCTCAAAGCAGAGATAGTCATACTAGAGATTAACCATTTGAAATGGAGGACAGACAAACAGACAATCTAAATGACAAAACGGGGACAGAGAGCAGTAAAAAATACGGGCATTTACATGAGTTGCAATGAATCATGCTAATTAAATACATGGCACCCGTACAAAATGTCAGCATTCATACAACTTGACTTATCCACTTTTAAGGCAAAAACACACAGAAAGGCATCGTAAAATATAAATTAATGATTGCATATTCTGGTTTCCCCCCAATGGTTAAATCTGTTTTGTAGAGATGTTAAAAGCTAAATATCTGCCTTCTCTAATATTCACTATTGCATGAGTGACCTTCCATATTATTAAAACTGTCAGTTATACTGTATATATCATACTTTCCATAAAGCTGTCTTCTACAACTCGCAGGGTCCAAATCTGTCTGACTTTTTAATCCCAGTTCAGTTTCTCATCACAAACACTCATTAAAGTGTGTCTCAATTCATCCATGTGTTTGACGATGTGCATTAACACACATGACAGAGTCACTGAAAGAGCTAACCACAAGGAAACTACAAACAACCATGATATAGCAGCTAGAAGAGCTAAGGTATTAATAATGAATATCAAGGATAAAAGATGCTAAGTTTCCTTTCACTCGTACCACAGGCTGAAACCAGACATGGTAATAAACCTCAGATCTCTCATCTATGTACTGGAACAGAGGATATTTTTTAATTAAATTCCAAAGCGTGGTCTTTCAATTTGAGAGCAGGACTTATTGATTTCAGGTTCAGATTTTGTGATGCTTTCCTTTAAAACACTGCATGCTCAATCTAATAGCCCCTGCTTGTGCTCAAGCTGTGAACTTGCAGTCAAATATCCTGTGCTCCAGCTTTACACTGCTTCTCTGTTATGGTTACTTTTTCCCATGACATACTGCAGGGGAAAAAGAAACAAGGCGGCTTCTAATTAATTTGTTCTAGCTGCTAGCCACAGTACTCAAATTAATTTCTCCGCTCCGTATTCATCATGGATCCGCTGGACTCCTGCTCCATGTGGGTGTCATCTTTTTGCCTTCAAGCTCACCAATGGGAAGCTGGAGTACTATCAAAGCTGTGGAGTGCAGTAACCTTGTTATAGTCACCACCCGTATGGGACTCTCAAACAAGTAAAGCTAACACATCCATAATGAGGGGCAGGATAATTTAATCTTCATTTTAACAACATCTCAAGGCAATTTGAAGCAGCATGAGGAGAAGAGCTCGAGTTTTAAGCACAAGCACGGCAGAGGTCATTTGAGTGCAAGCACAAGGTATTGAGTGAAAGCATTACAAAACCTGAATGTGAAATTAATAAGTTCTGCTCTCAAACTGAAAGACCACACTCTTGAATAAAGAGGGGAAAAAACGAAACAAAAGAGGAGACGTGTGATGGACATGAGCAATCAAGATGAGATTAAAAACATTAAAAACTCTTGGATGACAGAGATAAAATTAACATCCAACTGACTTCAACCGAAGTCTCCGAGCTGTGCGATGCAGGGAAAGTGGAGCGAGAACATACAAGTCATTGCTGTCATTTAGAAACTTCACTAGCTTGAAAGGTCAGAGAGCTACAACACACACGTGTCAGCTCTTAAAGCACTTGAGTTTTTCATACTGTCTGTTTTAACACAAAGGCCACAGACAATCATCACTGGTGTTTTGGAGACGCATCAAGTAAGACATGAGCATGGGGTGAGTTCTGAGTTGCACTTTAGAGTCATTAATAAAATCACACGTTATAAAGGACATGTCATCTCTTCTTCTTGGCCCGATGTAAATCTTTTCTCACATCCTGTTTTATTTTCCTCAGTCTTATGTCCTCTAGGAAGGTGGTGTGAGATCTGTGTCCTGCGTTGTTCAGCTCTTCTCCTTGCGAGGGCTATGGCTATTGCCTGGTTCTCCTTTATGGCTCAGCCGCTTCAGAACCTTAATGGGTTTGAACTTTGCCCCTTTTTTCTTGTGGTGTTGCTGTTGCTCGGTATCAGGTTCCTTGTGAAAGTCTGATGAGGAGGAAAATAAGAAAACAAGCCCGATTAAAACTCACAAAAGTAAGGCAGGGAGAAAAAGGAGTGAGATGCAACATTTACGTGTTATATTTAGCGACCACCTTCGTCTGTAGAATCTTTCATCTGCTACAAATGAAAAGAACTTATTCCTACCTTTCTTCTTCAGCATGGCCTCCATTAGTTTATCCTCCTCTTCCTCCCTGTGACAGAGCAACTGTTAAATCACTGGTCGCTGCAAACATCACCATTCTGTAAACCCTGGGTCAGAGTAACTAGCAGCTATTGATTACCTCTGCCTGTCCTGGTCCATGTTGTTGACGATTTGGTTGCGCTGTTCAATGATGGTGACCAGCTCAGACATTAGCTCCTGCTCCCGGCTCTTGTCCTCCTCAGTCCAGTCTTTCTCTGAGAAACAAAGGGAAGTTGATGGATTATTTGTGGACTACTACATACTGAATGTGAATGCCCTGAACAAATATAACAGAGTGCTACAGCATTTACAGTTGTTTAATTTTAAGTATTCTTTAGGTGCAGATATAAGAAAAAAGTGGTTCTTCTTAAGAAGAAATCTGTGCAGAGATTAACATAATGAGGCCAGACATACCTGGTTTGTTGAGAAGACACCTCAGCTCATACTCCACATCAGCCTGCCTCTCCTCCAGGTTCTGCTGCTTGGCCCTGCAGAGAACATACAAACTGTTAGAAGCTCGTATCCTCCAATACACTACTTTCAACCTGCTTTCTGAAAGGTAAACAATGAAGAAATAAAATATTGTACAATGCATGGATTGCCATATTTTAAAGAAAGATTGTTGGTCAGGTTAAAAAAAGGTTCAACATCAGCCTCTCTCTAGAGCCTGAAACTTACGTGTAGACCAGCTCTGCTTCTCGTCGGACTAAAAGGTGTTTCTCGTGGATCAGAGTGAACCAGTCCACCAACAGGCACTCCTCATCCTCATCTGTCATCACAGCAAAGAAAGAGAAAGATAATGTCTATATTCATTATGATTATTATTTTAAAATTCAGGAATCTTTTTGATTTTCAGTAACATTTCAATATTAAATCTAGTGAAGCTTTCTTGGACACAGCATAAGTGGAGTCAAAGAAGTCTCTAAAAAGCAATGTGATACCGTTGGGGTTGTCTCTCAGCTTCTTCTCCAGCTCCACTCCCCTCTGCTCCAGCTCATCCAGCTGTTTCTCCAGCTGACCCATCTCTCCGTGGATGTCCTCCACTGGGATAAACTGATCTGTCTGCACCTGGAGGGATGTTTGAAATAGACCAGCCATTTACTTCTTCTGTTTTTGATGCAGAACTTTCTATTTTATGCATTTTATTTCTACACTAAACTCTGAACATGTCTGAATGAATGTTACACACAAATAGGTTTAGATTCGGTCTTAAGTTTTTGTACTTTGCGTTTGATTAGTGGGAAGCCGTGACCAGGGGCCGGGGGTCTTGCAGGACGAGAGCCTTTTGGTGGTTTGGTTTTGGATTTAGCAGGAGAGGGAGAAGCTTTCCTGTTGAACGGGTTCTCTTTACATATCCGCTAAAAAGAGAGGAGAGACACAGGTGGATTTATAATAAGTGCAAAGTATTTTGATTTATATTGCTTTATTTGTAGGTGATCCTATTACCTTGCTGTTTGACTGTGCAGCTCCTGAGGCCAGTGGGCTGGGGGTCGTTGGGGGTCGTGGTGGAGGGGCTCCAGCCCCTTTGGTCCCCGAACTGCGACTGGTCTGTGGGGTGGCTGGAGCTGAGCTGGCGTTTGACAGCATGGGAGAAGGGTACGGGCTCGGGGAGGGTTGAAGCAGGTGTTCGTTTGTGGAGGAGGAAGGCAAGTCAGAGGGGTCGCATGGTGAGCAAATGGAAGGCTCTGAGATACTTTTGGTGAAGGCGTGTTCCTGGTCCCTGCTGGCACTAACTCCCAAGGGTGGCTGGGAGGAGCTGTGGTCTGAGCCTGAGGACAGACTCTCTATGCTGAGAGCTGGAGAGGGAGAGCAAGAGGAAGGCTGAGAGTGAGAAAGAACTGAAGAGGGAAGAAGATTCAGTAAAAAAAAAAGAGCAAGGAATGCAGAAATAAAACAGGAATCAAAGCCGTAGATTGAAATGGAGACAGGATGGAGAAAAGAGCAAAACAATTAACATAGATTTGGTATAGAAGACATTTTTTGTTTCATTAGCTCTGTGCTACAAACACAAGAGTCATTATTCCACGTCATCTGCTCTGAAATGCCACCATTTGAAATAGCAGGGTCATTTCAAGTATTCCCATCTCTGCTAAGTACAAAATGATTTAGGTGAGAGTTTGAATAAAATCTTAAGAGTTTGAATTTTGTGGTTCTGCTCAAACAGACCTTGGTTACCAGCAGGGGGCTGCGGAGCCCGTGGTGCTGGACGCCGTTTCTTGCTCTTTGCACTCCCGGGGCTGGCAGAGCGCGATGAACTCCCTCCGCTAGGGGGAGTGTCTGCACCTGTCGCGTCAGCCGCATGAGTGATTCTGTACCATGGGTGACTGGCCGCCACTGTGGGTGGAATCGCACCTCCTTCACCCCCCTCTTCTTCTTCTGCCTCGTTATTTTCATCGTCATCATCATCAAATGGGTTGGCGGGCGGAGGGGGTGTGCTGGGTCTGGAGCCATCCCCTTTGAGAGAGGACAGAGAGCCTGCATTGGGAGGTGTTGCCAATCCAGCAGGGGGAGGGGGAGGGGCTTTCTTCTTCTTGGATTCTGATTGGACGAGGGCGAGCCAAGGTGGGTCTTTGGGTTTATGGGTGCCACTGGACAGGCTGGACAGTGAAGACACACAGATAGGGATGGAGGGGTCACAGAGGGGAAGGCAACAAAACAGCCAAAAAGAGGCATGGACGAGCAGACAACTGTCATACATGCTGTAACAAGATGCAATTCAGAGAAAGACTTGGCTGATATGAGTCGTGTGAAATGGTGGAACTGGACAGGAAGAGGCATTTCACAGAAACTAATCTACCTTCCAGGAGACTGTGATCTCTCTCGAGGTTTGGGAGGAGTTGGAGGCTTCAGAAGTTCACCTGGGATTTCAGATAAAAGGGGAGGATTAGTATCAAACCTTATATAACTTTAGCAAAGTTATTGCATTGCTTTGCAATGAGCACCCACCAGCTGCAAGGCCATCTGTCGTACGGGGTAGTCGAACCCGAGGGGCAGGACGAGGAGGAGGGGTGGGTTCAGAAACTCTGCGGGGCGCTGGAACCGGCCGACTGACACCTTCATTATTACTGACAGGCGTAGAGGGAACGTCTCCGTTGGTTGTAAATTTGTCTGGTGTTTTACTCTCCTCCTCTTTCTCTCCATCCTCGTCCTCTTCATCGCTCTCATCAAAAGGGTTGGGGGGAGAAGAGGAACGTGGTGTCTCCTCTGTCGCTCCACTATCTTCTATATCTTTAGCTTTTTCCAAAACGTCTGTTTTATTTGTTGTAACAGGAGTGATAATGGCAGGGACAGTGGTAGGCATGTCAATGTCATTTGTTCTGCCTACTGGGGATGGAGTCTTAGCCTGGTCCCTCACAGAGGGCGAGGTGTGAGGAGTCATGCTGCGACCAATCCTGGCAGACAGGACTACCCCTGGTTTCTTACTGAGGTCTGGTCGGCCATTCTGGTTGGCTAAAGCTTGTCTTGCGAGGTGATGTGTACAGACCAATGCCCCAGAGTCGCTCCCCAATTTGTAAGATCCAGGAAGGAGAGTGCTGTGACACTCTGTGCACCTGAGACGACACAGGAAGAAAGTAACAGGTCATAAAGAGGGACTGTTATTAACTGACTAAGGATTTAGGAAAATGAAAAGAGCATTACAGCATTTTTAGAAATACATTAAACCTCCAGAGTAACGCTGTCACGATATCAGATTTTCAAAATTGCAATGGATAAAAGAAGAAATGATAACAATATTGCCATGATATCTATGGACATTTTGACAAATATAATAACAATAATGTGATCGTCAATTTCATCTTTAATATGGTTGTGTGTTTTATCTAGTTTTTTTAAAACAACATAATACTAATACCTAAGTATTGTGCAGATAGATGATGTTCTCATTCATGGTCAGAGTGATCATAGATCCACTAATTTTCTCTAATTTATATTATAATATGTACGTTATAGAGAGACAGAAACACATTGTTAAAATTATTAATTCTACAATAATAACTAATACTCACCATTGTAAACCAGGAAGTTACTACAGTATAATAGAGAGAATCCTCTATTTGTGGGGCCCTTGATTCATTAACATGGTATTATTAAATGCTCATTATTACCCCAATATCAATAATTAATATAATAATGATTCAATATCGTGGTTATTGCGACAGCCCATCCCTAGAGCATATTTCACTCTGTTCATTTAATACACAGTTACTGTAGCTGGGGGTTCACCTGAAGCAGTTGCGATGGTAGAGCTTGCTGTCCACCAGAAACCTCTGCACCAGGTGGACGTGTTTCTGGCAGGCAGCGCAGGTGCTGCTGAGCGTGCTGCGCTGGACCGCTGCTTCACCCGTCTGCGAGGGCTGACTCGGCTAGTGCAAGTGACCCGGACAGCGTTTGCAGAGAGGGGACGGGGCGGAGACATCAGGGGAAGGGGGGGAAGATGGAGAGTAATGGGGGAGGGGGGAGGGGGAGATCAAACACGGAGTCAGGATTTGAGGATGTGGATTTTCGATCATTCTGTTAATCTAACTACGTCTGCGTGGTTACTGCAACATCTACTGCTCATTGTTTCACGTGCTCTGTTACTGCATTTCAGTTTTCATTTTAAAACACAATATCTGATCAACTCAAAAATGTTTATCATGATATATTCAAGCATTTATTAGTAAATAAAATCCAAACAGCTGGGGTTAGTGGCTCTGTGAGTCACACATTTAGGATATAACTGATATTCAGGGATGATATATCTATTTTTGGGGGGGGTTAGGTAAATAATGTAAAGGGGTTAGAAGCAGCATATTCAAAAACTTGGCACACAGTGTTAGGATAGTGCAACAGTTAGTCTTTTATGTAAAATATAAGATATGTTTTCTTGTTTTTTAAAAGACTGACCTAACAGTTTTGCTTTCACCTCCTAGCCCACCCCCCACCCCCCACCCTACTGCCTAGGCTCGGGATCAGAGAGTGGAGGGGGGATCAGATGTGAGGAGGAAGAAGAACAGGAAGAGGAGGGAGTGGAATGGATTTCCATCTGAAGAGGGGTCGGGAGGGGTGGAGGCTGAGGTGGAGGAGGGTGGCAGTACATTGGAGTGTGGGGATGGAGGTAAGAAGTTGAAGGCATGCGAAAGAGAAGAGAGACAGGATACAGAGGCTATCTTTATAGACTTACTCTACCTCTGTCGCTTTGGTTTTCCCCTGCTGTGCAACACAAAGCCCACACGAGGAAGTAGTACTTATAAAATACATATGTGGATATTGTTTATTGTTGTACTGGGATGGAAATTGTATTGTCCAGTTCTAATGAGTTAATACCCCCAGAATAGCACATGCAGAATTATACTTAGATATTCCAAGGCTTCACATACACAGGGATATGCAACAAAGAAATGTGAGGCTTCATTGTGCTTCAGGACACTGTAAACAAAACATTACTTACAGCTTAATAACAGGCAGCTCCACACTGTCATCATGCAGGGCTTACTGTGTAGAGTTAAGTGTGGCCCAAAGTCTACTAAGTCTTAGAAATTTAGAAAGAAGTCAACACATGCACAAGGGAAATTACTGGCTGTTACTTTGCCTTCTCCTCGTGCAAACTCTTGTTCTTACCTCAGACTCAACCACTTTGTCTTCCAAAGGGGTCAAAGGTCTTTTCTGGGCCGGCTCATTATAACCGACAGGACTTGGCCTCTTCATGCAAGGCGGGTTTGCTGCAAGAGAGGATGTAGAGGAAATCAGTTTATGCCTTAAAAAAAGTAGGCTGTTGTTAAACACACACGAGTCCAGTTGCTCCATCTCCAGATGTTCTAAGGGTGGATTGTTTACAATACAAGTTAAAAAGGAATACACTAAACATTTTTTTGTAAATCTTAATATTCCTGTCTTAATCTTAATGAATATATCTGAAAAGAATGGGGATTGAATAACAAGACTCAAATCCAGATATAAAAGTTGTTTATGGAGTTCACATTGCTACAAGTCAAATCCAGCTGAATGAAGCACACCAACCTTGAGATTTGTTGTTAAAGAAGTTGTAATACTGGGAGACATAGGTAATGATACTGAGCCGGTCAGGAACTTTCATGGACACCATGTCCTCTGGGTCCAACAGGGCTGGAATCCCCAGCTGTGTCTCGGCCACTTCAAATGCCTACAATGTGGAGAAGACAGAGAAAGGGGACAGAAGGGAGTTAGGTAATGGCAGGAGATAAGAAAGAGACTGAAAAACAACTGTGATTCTGATCGGCGATTGTGGCTCAGAATGTACAGTGGCAAAACTGTACTGTGAAGCGCTTTGAGTGTTCATCAAGACTAGAAAAGAGTTATATGAATATATAAGTTTACATGCATGCAAATAATTTAAAATATGCTCATAGTCAGGGATCTGATGATGATGATATCTCTTCACTTTAACTAGGTGAACCACTGGCTCACTCATTAACAGCTGATTGTCATTCTTTGGCCTGATTTCTATCAGGATAAATTCTTTGGTATAAAGTAATCACACATGAAAAAGACAGTGGGATCTGTGGATTACCATCACTTCTTCATATAGAATGTTACATTCCTTCAAGCTGCATAAACAAAAGTCCATTTACCTTCATTGTACTGGGGAGGCAGATAAAACTGAAACTGTATTAATCGCTGAAGGTTTTGCTATTATAATTATTCCTCATAATAACATACATTTACATTACTGCAAATGTTTTCATTAAATTAGAGCTCAAGAACCTTGGTATTAACAAAAATCTGCTAATTTGTCTCCATGTAAACATTTAGAGACTGAGTGCAACAAACCAACATGCTCACCACAGCCCACTAACCAGCAGATACTTGATGCCCTGAATGGTCTAACTCTGCTGACAAAACATCAGTCATTTGCTCGCTATGTTATTTCGGTTTGTTCTTTGAGGCTAACCGTCACTCTGATAAAAACATTCCATTGAAGACATGAGAGAGCGGGTTAGGTTACGTAACACAACTCTTATAGCAGTTACACAACACTGACGTAACTCAAAAAAGGCAACAAATGGTCAACATGTAACAAAACCAAAATGAATCAAAATGTTTAGTATAAATAATACCTGCTTTACAAATTAAATACTTCTCGATTCTTAGTTTCACTGCATCTAGTTTGTTGTAATTTACTGAAAACTATTGAAACATCTAGACTAATAAACATATTCCTGATCCACTATCGAGACCAATTTACAAACCACAGACAAAAACAAAACACGCTTCTGCTCTTGCTGAAGATGCAAATCGCTCACATGAACCTACTTCAGTTCAAATCAAGATACTTTAAAAAGTATTTTCATGTAAGTGTTGTTGTCCGGACGAGGACTAAATGATGATGATGAGTAATGCTCCTTCCAGACTGATGTTGTAATGCTTGTGTCAGACTGACATAACCCGCCTTCATCAACACAGGTCACAAACAGTACATTGGGCATGGAACTTTATTTAAAAAATATTTTAGTTAAACAAATTTGACCATATTAGACTGTGATCTATTAAAATTTCTTTAAAATCTGCCTTTAAAGAGATCGTTAGAACCGTGTAACAGTGAACATTATTTAATTATATATATCAATTTAATCATTCAGTCCAACCTGACTCCGCTTGCTCTCTTCTCTTCTCTCTCTCTCTCTCTCTGTTACGCTGACACACAGACACTCCCACACGCACCCATTGACTCAGATGACATCTCTATTTAATCCACTACAGATTAAATGTTGATTTGTTTGTAACCACGACCAGATTTTCAACACGGATCACCACATAATGATTGATACTTTTCTTAAATGAGTAGATGTGCGCATTGATTCTTTTATTCATACTATTATTAATATGCGTAATATGTATACATATATACAGAATATACATGGAAAGGGGGGGCTCCAGCCCCATCACGAGGATGGAAGGACTTTTACTGCATAATGTAATTCAGTGCAAGTCATCACTAGTGACACTAAGAGATCGACCTTTGACAGCAGTCTCCTATGAACAGGTTGTATTCACTTTACCATGATCTCCTGTATTAAAAAGACTTTAAGGAAAGTAATCAACAGAGAGAGTCAACCAGGAACAAATTCAAGGAGCTCACATCTGGCAATTACATCGTACAATCTGACCCAGAAGCTAAGCATGCTCTTTACATTAACAGTCATGGATTACCATCTAGGGCTTAGGCCTTATTGAGTCACTACTTTACAGACAGCATACCAGGAGTGTGTTTCTGCCGCTAACAGCAGTCACCTCACTTTCCCTGAGGGCTGCTGGATAAAAGAATGTAAACAAGCGCAAAGAGCTGCCAAAGCTGTGCTCATACTGAAAAGGAGGAGACACCCATTTCATCCCTCAATATTCTGTTGGCTTACAGATGATGTGGAAAAAACTAACAGGGAAAGTATGATTTAAAAAAATCTTGGATTCATTCAACTTATAATACACAGCTGCAAATTCAGCACTCTTGCGCTTTAAATCTTCTCTCCGTGGTCTCAACGGGCTTACGTCAAGGGTTTTATTATTTTTCTCTTTTCTGGACGCTGAATCCTCTGGTTTCATCCCTCTTTGCCCTCATCAGGATTAAGTGACATTTTCCTCCACACAGCCAAATACACTGAGGTCATACCCATGACGGGATGAAATCATAAAACCTACGAATTTTATGGATGAATGCAGCACACGCAGAAAAAAAATTCAACGCCTGAAGCCAAGTGATAGATAATAGTTGGGCCTCAGGTGATTAAACACACCACAGTGACATTACAACCAACACACGATCATGGAGCAGAGTTCGAAGCTCGAAACATACAGATGTAAACTGACTCACCAGTCGGTTGTTGTCGTAGACGTTCTCTTTAGACAGCAAACCAAAGTCTCTGGAATGGCAAGAGAGAGTAAATGTTAAAATTCAAACTAACATTTTGTACAGATAATCAGCATGCAATAACTAAACTCGTGGTATCTGCTCTGAGGCCAAGTATAGCATAGAGGATCATAAAGACATAACTGTCCATGCTGATCGAGGACAGTACTGGATTTAGCTTGCTGGCCTATTTCCTCTTCTGCTATGAACCATCAAAAAGCTATTATTGTCTTGACAGCGTGACAGGCCCAATGGTAAGCAGTAAAGCTTCCCAGCTCCCACAGACAACTGGTCCCACAGCACACATAAATGATTCCTGATATGAACAACTGCCAGGACAAAAGGAAAGAAGTGGCGGCCCAACAGGAGTGATGGGGCTGATAATTACAAGGTTCTGCTTTGAAAAGCCTGGAGCGATGGAACTAAAGCCAGAGCTCTCCCCAGTAAACATCCTGCAGTAAAACTGGAAAATGTCTGAGGTGTTTCTGGGATGAAAGTGTGGTTGTGTGCATAAGTAAATTCATGTTGATTTAAGTGTCTCGCAGTACGACAACAGTGGGGTGGAAAAAAAAATAAAAACATGGCGACCCCAGTGTGAGCTTGTGTTGACCATGTGGAACTTTCAACAAGGCAAAATCCAATGAATGAGCTCCGTGTTGGAGCCGCACAAAGTAACCTCTGTTCTCTATAATCTAGTTCCCATGGTCACAAACACACTGAGCAGCAGATCTCATATCAAGATCATGTCAAAACAAGTCCACTGTGTCATGTCTGCCAATATAACCAGATGGAAGTACAGCCACTTAAAACAAACACTACCAAAACTGTCGCTGGAAGTTCAAAGTTTTCGAAAATTACAGGACAGACAGTGCCAGCCGACACTGACACGGATGGTGACACGGATGGTGGAGTGATGTGTGTGATCTGCACTGCAAACCTAATCCACTGTGACTCACAGTCTCGCTTCGAGGTTTATTTTCGGAGAGAGGACTTCTATGGAACAGTGTGTCTATGTGAGTGTGCACTGTGTGACAGTCCTGTAATATCCACAGGATCAGAACCTGGGTGAACCTGTATATCTGCTACATTTGGTTCGGTCAGGTGGTAGATTTGTGCCGGAGCAAAGAGGATTGAGATTCAGTGATGTTGTGACAGTCAAAAATGAAGCTCATAAATACACATAATAATCATAGTTTCACAAGAGAAGTGGTGAAGACAAAAATTAAAGTAAAAACATTATGCCGGAAAATGTCAATACAGAGAAGAGACCGAAACACAAAAGCAAAATAAAGTAGATGATGTGAGGGTAAGCAGTGCAAGATGGAGTTTGATAAGAAGCCCCACATGAACACAGCTAACTTTGAATGCGCTGTCCCATGTAGTTTGGTATATGACTAGACATGAATGGTTGATCGATGTCAGATCTACTCCCTCTCCAGTTGGCTGAGTGACAGTAGGAAAATGAGAAAAGGCCATTTGCTGCGCTTACGTCTCTCGTCTGGACCGATGTGATGCATTTTGATGAAATCCTGCACAGTGCAGGGTGGATCTATGTTGGCCTGGCCCAGCATTAGAGTTAAATCCAGTCTGACAGGCCGAGGCCTCAGCTGCAGATTAGCCTGACCGACTGTCTGTCTGGATCAGAGCACTGAGGGCTGGACAGGGAGGCATGCTGGGACACAAATTGGAGAGGCAGCGCTCAAAAGTTGGGTGTTGAGGATTTCTCCATTGTTGTACTTGGAGCTTTACTGCTGCGATGTGCAGACATATTCCACTTGACTGACTTGTCCTTAAGAGACTGCTCCACAGTCCAAATGTTTACTCTGCTACCATCCAAGCATGATTCCAAATTGTTCACAGAAGTCTGCACCACCTGTGAGGTGAACAGCATGACCAAGACGCTTATTGTCTAAACATATCCCACATTTTCCCTCCAGGACAGAGGAGGGACATAACATGTCATGTACTGAATGGTTTAACACAGTTCTGCTACAACAGCCAGGGTCACAGAGTCGTTTCAGTCTGAAACTAACGACTAATCCTGAAGCTGTCAACAGGCGACTCTACCCACTGAGATAACAGGGCCACACTCTTGCCACATTAAATTGCACAGAACCGGTGCTTTTCTAGAGAGATCCACATAATGTCAGAGTCAGTGTGTCTTCTGTCCCGCTGCAAATACTGGAGATGTTTCGAATCAAATGAGTACAAAAAGGTCTACAGACATATTAACAAGACACATGATGGCCCATCTAATCTGTGTGTGTCTATCAGGACACAAGACGTGTCCTGGTCGAACTCAGTATGAACTTTAGATGAGTTACCAGCTGCAGATTAAAAAGAAAGTTACAGTTTTTTTGGTCTCTACCGAAACAATGGAGAGTCACCACTTCCTCCTTTGAAAATACACTGACACTGCTGTTGTGTTCAGTGGTGGCTTCTGTACAGTCTGTGTGTGTGTGGGTGTCAGATGCAGAGCGGAGGGGCGTGTTGTTACAGACAGGGTATGACTTGTCGGCCTGGGTTACTTACAGCACACTGACCTCTCACTCACTCTACAATGTTGAATACACATATTTTTACTGGTGATTATGTCTGTGATTAAATGACATCATCAACTCGTACAGCAGAGACTAATCCAACACGGACTGTACGTTTTCATGTGTTAGCATGGGTAGTTTAATATCATACACACATTTAAAACTGTCAATATCAATCATCGAAACAATAATGAGTTAGACAAGTGCTCCACGTAATCTCAAACACTGAATAATATATATAGCACAGATTGGTTCACTCGGTTGTGGATTATTTATGTGTTATTATTCTTGTCCTGAATAGACGATCATAGTAATCGTTTCTGTATTTTACTTCAAATTCTGAGAAAACAGTGTGAAGGCTGTCAACCTCTGACTGGAGCCAGCAGCTGTATCCACAACCAGTTCACTGCTTCATTCAAATCAGAACTGATTTCTCTCCTGTGATCAGAAATCAGGTTAGAGAGCATCACGGTTGCACGGTCCGACTTCAGGCTACTTACATCAGATCTGGTCTGAAGCGATGGATGATGGCACAAAAAGCCAACCCGTCCCTGAAGGACGTTGACATGTCCTTTATTTCCACATCGTTGTAGTTTTCACACTGTATCCGACACCACTCCTGCAGAGCCTTCAGAGATCCCATCATACTGTCGCAGGAATCTTCGAGTCAAATGAAAAAAGGAGGTCTCGCTCGCTCGCCTTGCCTCAGAGGAGACAGTGAAACGTGTTTGTCTGCGGTCATGAACGAGTCGTCGCCTGTGAAGAGGCGACAGACATCCAGACAACACCCGATGTGAGGCTACATTCATTCACAGCCAGTGAATCACGTTAAACAGCTAGCCCCGGCTCAGTGGCTACATGTTAGCTAACTTTTCAACTACAACGCGCATTATTCTCCGGGGGCTGTCTCGTGTCCCGGCTTCTTCAACAGCGACTAAACCGAGACTCTGAGCGGGACAAGCGGGTTGAAACGCGGCTGATATCCTGAGCTCATGGCGGAGGCTCTGCCGTCAAAGTTCCTCACGTAGCCAACTTGGCTAACGTTAGCCTGCTGCTAGCTCCCGGTGCAGGGCTGGTGTCACTGGCGGGGCTGGTGTTCTCCTCGGTGTGTGCTGATGGAGCAGGTTCGGCGGACACTGGGTGGTGGTTTCCTCCAGGTGGACACGCAGCACGGGTCTCGTCTGGTGGTGCAGTGTCTGCAGCGGCTGTTTAAAACACCGGGTACAGAGCCTGGGGTCCGGGGATGTTCTCCTGACGTCCTCTCCGCGATCACAACATTAAAACACACTGTTACAAACACTCCTGGTTGATGGAAGTAGCCCGGAGCCGGTGCCACGCCATGCTAGCTGCACCCAGAGATGTTCAGTCTCTGATCCGGAGGGGCGCTGGCAGCAGTCTGCCTGCCACCATACTCAATGTCAGGCTGCTGTTCCCCTCTGTGTCCAGCTGGAGGAGCTACTGAGCCGCTGTGTATGGAGAGCCAAGAGTGCCATCTGTCGTTTCTGTTTGTTTTCACAATTCTTTATTGATAAAGAAGGGTTTTCTTTACTTTATTTACTACTCCCTAGTCTCTCTTTTTTAATCAGCAATAAAAAATGGACAAGATAAGATACGATCATCATTTATTAGTCACACAATGGGCAGTGTTACAGCAGCAAATGTCCCAATTTAGATAAAAATAAAGTAATAAGAGGTAAACATGCAATACTTTATAAATGCAGAACAGAAATAGAAATGCAATATAGATAATAAATACAGTGTAAATAGAACATGTACAACAGATTGCACATCCACCATGATTTGCACAGGCAGGAATGAATATTGTACAGTTAAAAGGTGAAACCTGATTCTAAAGTGCAGTCCAGAAATTGGTCTACTGGGAGCAGAACGGGCTGTACGGTGTCACAGCTGCAGGAAGGAAGGACCTGCAATACATCTCCTTTAAACTCTTTGGGAGGATCCGTCTGTCGCTGAAAGAGCTGCCCAGTAATGTGATGGTGTCCTTCATTGGGTGGGACCCATCGTGCATCAGAGATGACAGCTTTGCCTTCATTCTCCTCTGTCCCACAACCTCCACAGGGTTAGGGTGGTGTCCCAGGATCAAGCTGGTTCTCCTACTCAGTCTATCCAACCTTTTCCTGTCAGCGGATGAGATGCTGCTGCCCTTGCAGACCACACCAAAGATAATGGCTGATGCCACCACAGAATCATGTCGGGTCAAACAAGGCAATCATACTTAACAGTCATAAAATATCCATAATGTAGAATGAACACTACCTATTACACATAAGGGATCTATGTTGACAAATATAAATACAAAATGTGCTCTCAATTGTGAGTCTGTGTTCACAATTCAAACAGTTAATCTCTGCTGAAAATATAGAAGATAAATACACACAGAATAACATAGATTTAAATCCTCCTTGTGTCTTGTACAGCTAGTAAGAGAGTAAAGCCAGGCCATAGTAATCTTTCAATAAAGAGGGCCTACCACTGTTTTAGCTATGTATCTCTGTTATCGCATTATTGCAAAAGGCCTATCAGAAATACTTGATCTATAGCCTTGATGCTGATCATGGGATTAGTGGACCAGAAATATCCAGAGATAAAGGCTACAGCAAAGAAAAAATGGAGCTGAAGGCGAGTCACATTTCTAGAGCAGAAGGAAAAAATTGTAATGATAAGTGTAAATTCCAAGCAAATTCATTATGAATTCTTTGAATACAGAACATAGCAGAGATCTGCAACTAAAACAAAACACAAGGAAAAGCCTTCAATTGTAAAGATGGGCAACATGACGGCTCCCTAATGGTGAAGCCAAAACATCCTTGGGCCAAAACATCTTGACGTCCTTATGGTGCTTGAATGCAGGATGGTTTGTAAACCCCATCTCCTCCATGTAAGCGAATGGGACAAGGGCCAAACTAAAAAGTCAGTACATGTCGAATACATTTTTCTGTCACAGTCGCTTTAGTTGGTTCTAATCACAGTGTTGTACTTTCAATTGTTAATTATTGTATCAGGCTTGGTTTTAATTTGTTATTAATATATGATGATACAATAATAATATTACTATTAGTCAAATAAAAACTGGGTGAAACATCGTGATTGATAGCGGAGGCTGGCTTGCGATTGGTCAGCGTGTGTATCAGTAGGACCCATGTGCATATATTTTGGCCTCATCAAAGTTTCAATGTAAATCACATGAAAACAGAGGCAGTAACATATGGCACTGTTGACTTTCCATACCGCCTGGACGTCATGCGTCCACGCGATATGTTACAAAAACCACGCGAGACTGGCTGCTTGTTTATTCTCGAAAGATGGCGGCGGCGCCTCCAGAAGAGGTTAGCCTGCAGTCTCGAATCAGTAAGTCAACATTCATCTCTATCCCAGATTAACTTTGAGCTCAAAGACGGGGCACTGCTGAGGAACCCGCGGATCGATGATCGGTCTGCGTCCGCAGTGCTGTGTCTGTGGATCTTTATCTCATGTCATCAAATGAAGAAGTGCTGTTGACGTGGAGGAACAAACTGGTTCAGATAATACGTCACCTTTCCTGCAGCCGATCTTCGGGCTCTTGTTGTGTTCACTGTTGTCAGTGTGAGGTTGGCGGTGATGACACGCTCATTTCAACACCCCAGAGGAGCTGAAGTGTGTGCTAACAGCACCAGTTAGCCAGTTAGCTGCTGATCTGAGACATGAACCCAACCTGAACCTTCCACCTGCACCAGAGACACACGTGTTTCTACACACAGGAGAAGCTCTGCACTGTCTGCAAACAACCGGAGTCTGCAGCACCCGAAGCTGTGAAATCTGTGCAGCGTCTGTCAGTGTGGCGTCAGTGTGGTGTCAGTGTGGGGTGTGACAGGCCTTGGCGACCTACACACTCATATCAGAAATATAACACGTCACGAGACTCAAGTTTAATATTTGTATCTCTCAAACCTCAGGTCTTCTCGTCGGGATAAAATCAAATGCAGAGTTTTTAGTCTCATGTTTTTTTCTTCTTTTGTGCAGACAAGGCCACCAACCCTCTGAACAAGGAGAACGACTGGGACAGCATCAAGGGATTTTGTGACCAGCTCAACAATGAGCCAGAAGGGTGAGATGATGATGATGATGATGGTGATGGTCATCACACTATTTCTGATCGTAGATAAAATACACAAACACACCCGTGCTACGCCTGCTGTTGATCTACTGTCCAGACCACAAGTATTTTGGCAGATGTCTGCCACACAGCAAAGAAAGAACTGTGAAGGAGACATAGCCCTTTTAATAAATAATGCCCGAGTGTTCCAAAAGAATTGAACAGATCCACACAAAGTCAAACTAAATCTTGACATTTGATATTTTGTTGAAACTCTTTTGCCTCTTTTGCCTTTCCCCTCAGCTCTAAGTGTCTCTATGTGTAGTTGCTCTGTTCACATGTTTAAGATCGTTGTCCTACTGAAATGTCATACATTGCATTCAGCTGAATCTGAGCTCACACAGAGCTCCTCTGTATCTATTCATTCATTCTGGTGCTGCTGTCGGAAGCGAAATGATCAGTAAATGCCAGTGTCCCACTTCCATGTATCCCCAAGCCATAAAGGAACCACAGCCATGTTTGACAGAGGAGGTTGGTTGTCGATCGTGAGGTGTTCCAATTTTCATTTCTTAATTTGTCTCTGCCAAGGAGGTTATGTTTCCTGCCTGTTTATTTGTTGGTTGGTTTGTTTGGAAGAAAGATTACACAAAACCACAATAAGGAGTTCCATGAAACTTGGTGAAATGATATGGTATGGATCAGGGGAGAACTCATTCGATTTTGATGCGGATCCAGAGAGTTTTTTTTTATTGATGAAAAAGATCTGGCACATTTAGGAACTGATATTTATGAGTGTGTGAAATTAGGTGCAGCTTGATCCAATTTGAGGCGACTGCCATTTTATCTATTGGAGTTTTTGTGACACTTCACTGTTATTGTCTAAATTGAGACTCGATCAACTAAATCCCACGTGTGAGCTGTTTTGTCCATGAACTAATATTGAAATGACAAACCGTTGCCTAGAAATATTTTGTAACCAAGTGTAAAATTAGTTTTGAACACCTGTCATTTACAAAGGGCTACATCCCCCTCTCAGGTCTTTTTAGATTGATCTACAATATTTAAATTTAATCAGAGACTTGGTACTTATTAAATTATTTCAAATTGAACGTGCTGAAGCTCTGAGCTGTTGCCGAAATCATTTGTGGATTTCTTTTTCTACGTTGCATCTTTTTATGTGTGAGTAGAGTTAAATATCTGTTTTTATCCATCAGTCCTCAGCTTGCAACCAGACTTCTGGCCCACAAAATCCAGTCTCCTCAGGAGTGGGAGGCTATGCAAGCGCTTATGGTGAGAGATGAGTCTAAGTCTGCACTTGTGTGTGTTTGTTTTGTGGCTAATGTGTGCAAAGGTCTGCAAAAGGCACAGCACATGTTAAATGTTCCCTATAATTGTCTGAAATGTAAAACCAGCTAACTTGAAATTTAACCACTTCCCAGGTTCTTGAAACGTGCATGAAGAACTGTGGGAAGCGATTTCACATTGAAGTGGGAAAGTTTCGTTTTCTCAATGAGCTCATCAAGGTGGTTTCACCCAAGGTAATAATAGTTGTACTATGTGCTGTCATACTGGTTTGGCTGCATCTGTAAATCCATGAAAAATCTTATTGTTGGCGTTTATTTGCTATTCAAAACAGCAACTACATTCTTCATCACACAGAATAGCTCCAAGAACAGGTTTGATAGCAGAATTCAGAATAGAAAAGTCACATATGTTGTATTTAAGTTGCCAGTTTGTTTGAATATGAAGCTGTGACAATAAGATAGCTCAGCTAGTCTTACATCAGATATGATTTCTATTAACCAGAGAGTTAGTGTCAAAAATATGTTTCAGTTACACATGTCTGTATCTCATCTTTTTTTATTCATGAAAAAACAATTCACATTTTTTCCATATTGATTTTGAAAATACCTCCCACCTCCTCTCTCTGTAGTATTTAGGTGCGCGGGCTCCAGATCCAGTGAAGAAGAAGGTGTTAGAGATGGTGTACAGCTGGACGCTGAGGCTGCCAGAGGAGACCAAGATAGCAGACGCGTATCAGATGCTGAAAAAGCAGGGTGAGTCCTCCTAATGTTTGAGAACATGACAAATCATCAAGCTAAAGGACTTTTCTCATTTGCTTAATTGTTACACTAAACCTGCTTTCATACGTGCACTAATCACAGGATAATCTCCTGACATTATCTGATGGGGCTGCATGTGAGGACGCAAATGTCAGTTGAGTTGGTTGATGGAGACATTCTCCTGAGTTTTTCCTGCCACCCACACGTAAAAAACAAATCTGAAGATGTCAACTTGGAAAGATTTGGATCTTTATGTGATTCGGGTCGGTTGTTGATGTGCAGTTAACAAAAACACATGATCTTCACAGTGGAATAAGTACGTAAAG